TCATTCCACCAATCACTCTTCTTTCCTCCTGCACCCACCCTCCTATAACCACAAACTTCTGCCCCACATTCTAATACTGCATTTTTAAAACTATTCCAACCCTCTTCAACCCTCCCACTACTCATACTTGCACTAGCCCACCTTTCTGCCAATAGTTGCTTATATTTCACCCGAACGTCCTCCTCCCTTAGTTTATACACTCTCACCTCCCTCTTACTTGTTGTTACCATTTTCCTCTTGTCCCATCTACCTCTTACTTTAACTGTAGCTACAACTAAATAATGATCCGATATATCAGTTGCCCCTCTATAAGCGTGTACATCCTGGAGCCTACCCATCAACCTTTTATCCACCAATACTTAATCTAACAAACTACTTTCATTACCTGCTATATAATACCTTGTATATTTATTTATCCTCTTTTTCATAAAAATGTATTACTTATTACCAAACCTCTTTCTACACATAGCTCAATTAAAGGCTCCCCATTTTCATTTACCCCTGGCACCCCAAATTTACCTACTACTCCCTCCACAACATTTTTACTCGCTTTAGCATTGAAATCCCCAACCACAAGTACTCTCACACTTGGTTCAAAACTCCCCACGCATTCACTCAACATTTCCCAAAATCTCTCTCTCTCTCCTCTACACTTCTCTCTTCTAATATATATATATATATAATATATATATATATATATATATATATATATATATATATATATATAATATATATATATATATATATATAATATATATATATATATAATATATATATATATATATATATATATATATATATATATATATATATATATATAGTATTATCATTATTATCACTATTATTAGAGTGCAAATGGCTCCTGGTAAGAAGAAAGCACCCACCTTGCCACAGACGTCACAGCAGTTACAGATATCCTTGACAGTGCCCCAGGGACAGTCCAGGGTGCTGGGGTCACGACACTTCCTTTCCTCACAAGGTATACAACTCAGCCCCGAACAACTGAGGAATATATAAGAGGTGTGTTATTGTGTTTCTTACTGGCTCTTCAAATTGTACGGTAAAAGGACACACATCATGGCGACCAATGTTTGTTTCAACACTTTCTATAATACACAGGTGCTACTTTATATAAACAAAGTGACTAGACTTTCTTTTAATACAGAAAAACTTTTCAGATAATGAAATAGAGCATATATTACAGTATCCAAAGATCTTACAGGGATATTAAAACATTCTTGTCAAGCACGGTTGTATTAACAGAAGTAAGATGGAGAGAAACGTGTCAATCTTTAAGAGACAAAATTCACTAATAAATACGTCCCAACTTTTCACTCTGTTACAGCAGGAACGTCTAACCTGGCGACGGTGAGAGTGAAGGCACACAGGAGAGTGAAGGTGTGCATGGTGTGTAGGCAGTGGAGCGCCAGGAGGACTAACAGGTTACGTCCGCTGGCAGGGTAAGTCGTCACTTCACTCGGCTCTGCTTCCGTGGTCTAACAGCGTCTGTCTCTTGCCAGGTACGTAGTGACATTCTCCATTCCACCTCACAGACCACATGCACAACACCAGTACACTCGACGCCCACTCATTTCCTCTAACTAGATTATCATCCGCATGGGTGCAAATTCCAGCAGAAACACAACATTGTCTTTTAATGTTTGTATTTCTGAAACACGGGGAAAACTTTCCTGGGATAACACAAAAAAAAGACAATGGTTTTAACACTAAGATGCTTTATATTATATTTGTACAAACAAGTGTATAAATAACTCTGTATATATTCATAACTTTAATCCTTATTGTATGGATCAAAATATTCTTAATGTTAGTGTACAGTTGATGGGGTGTTTATATGCTGGTAGAATTACCGACAATATGTAAAGTAAAAGGACATAAGTGCAACTAATGTGACATTATTATTGTGGCAACGTTTCGCTCTCCAGGAGCTTTGATATCCTTTTACTCATGTGCAAGTTAATTGTTCTACCTTATTGTATTACTACTACTACAACTTATATCACTACTACTACTACTACTACTGCTACTACTACTACTACTACTACTACTACTACTACTACTACTACTGCTACTACTACTACTACTACTACTACTACTACTACTACTACTACTACTACTACTGCTGCTACTACCACTAGTATTGCACCTCACACTGAGCCTATATATACTCTCTGTGTCCATGTACTGTTTGTAACGGCTTGACAAAGCTCCTGGAGAGTGAAACGTTGCCACAATAAAATGTCACATTAGCTACACTTGTGTCCTTTTACTTTACAAGTTGATGGGGTAGAGGGGTAAGCCAGTGGAAGGCTTCGGTCAGATGACCAAAAGCTCCAGCTGCAGGTCATCATATAACAGACCCGCGTCAGGAAACACTTCTCCTGTTTCTTGACGAACCTACTTAACCTAAATAAACACATTTTGAATAAATGATTTAGAAAACCGACAAGTTGATAAATGAAACACTTGTGCAATATCTGAGTATCTACATTCTGAAAATGTTTCGCCAACCAGTGGCTTCCAATGCAGAGAAAGGTGGAAAATGAGTTTGAGGTAATCAGTCCCCCAGCCTGGAGTCGATGTGTTCAGTCCATCAGTCTTGACAGAAGTGCAACATCTTAGGATCCGATGCAGGGAATTCTTCATAACTTGTCTAACCTATACACACGACCTACTTCCACTAGTGAGGTGTTTCTTCTGGTGACTCCACTGCTTCACCTCCACTCCACTGCTTCACCTCCACTCCACTGCTTCACCTCCACTCCACTGCTTCACCTCCACTGCTTCACCTCCATTGCTTCACCTCCATTGCTTCACCTCCACTGCTTCACCTCCACTCCACTGCTTCACCTCCACTCCACTGCTTCACCTCCACTGCTTCACCTCCATTGCTTCACCTCCATTGCTTCACCTCCATTGCTTCACCTCCACTGCTTCACCTCCACTCCACTGCTTCACCTCCACTGCTTCACCTCCATTGCTTCACCTCCATTGCTTCACCTCCACTGCTTCACCTCATCTGTCAGCAGAATATAAGTCCCATCTAATAATAATAATAATATCTTTATTTCTACAAGTACATGTACTAGGTACACAGACTTAACTGTTTGTTATGCTGAGCATTTCGGGCAAATTAGGTTAATTTTGTCCCAGGATGCAGCCCACACCAGTCGACTAACACCTACGTATCTATTTTACTGATGAGTGAATATGGACAGCAGGTGTCTTATGGAAACACGTCCTAATATTTTCCAACTGTACCGGAGATCGACCCCCGGACCTCAGTGTGTGAGATGAGTGCTCTAGCAGTCGAGCTACGGGACACTCCGCGAATATGCTGCACCTTTGTTAAGGTTGATGGAATGAACACATCGACTCCAGGCTGAGGGACTGATTATCTCTATCTCTTTCTCATCTTCCAACTTTCTCTGCATTGGACTGAAGAAGTCACTGGCTGGCGAAATCTTCCAGAATAAACATACTTAAATATTATACAAGTGTCTGACTGAGCTATGATATGAGGCTCCCTGGGAAGGGAAAAATTCTACAGGACAGAAGTGAAGCAAGAAAGAGTGACGACTGAGCTGCACGTCCATCATGTGTTAAGCTTCAAGGACTCTTATCCAACACCACTCAGAGTAAACTGAAAGTGACTGACAGATCTGGTATTTAATAGGAGTAGAAAAGATGAAAAATTCACCCTGAAATAATCACATTTACATTTTAGTGTCAACTTTGCTTCACCGATGGTCTTCACTCTACGTAAAAACGGTAGTTGTTTAGGAAGATGGACTGATAAATTATATGTGGCGAGTAGTTTTCAAGGGAAGGTAACTTAGCGGAAAAAATTAAATCATGTGACATTGTCTCACTAAACGTTAAAAAGAAACAGGTAGCCAACACAATAAAGTAAACAAAACTGTCTAACCTGGTGACCGCGAGGACACCAGACGAGTATGACGGTGTTCATGGCCACGTCCTCTGGCTAGTAAGTCCTCACTCACCCTGATGCTTCTTAGTCTGTGGTAGTAGTCGCTTCCCCGTCAAGCAAGTACTGACGCTGCTTTTGGTTAGGTTAGGTAAGGTTCGTCAGGAAACAGGACAAGTGTTTCCTGAAGCGGGTCTAAGTCAGATGATGACCCACAGCTGGAGCTTTTGGTCATCTGACCGAGGCCTTCCACTGGCTTACCCCTCCACCCCCTTAAAAATAATGGTCATAGTTATAGCCATACAGACGTTACTTTTAACCCGGATATATACGTAGTCTCCCTCCCAGTCCCAAGTTTCACTTATTAAGACGAAAAAAACACAGTAAAAATAATTGTCGTAGTAGTCACTCCGCAAATATTTTTAACTTTGCTTCTTTAATACTGGGAAAATATGTTCCGAATTTTTAAAAAAAAAAAAACATCGACTCTCTTCATGTTAACGTAAAAAAAAATCTCACGTGCGTGTAATTTACTATTTATAATTGCTTATTCACAGCTGGAAATATAAACACAAATGCAGTATAATGTGATCCTTTATTGACTACGTTTCGCCCACACAGTGGGCTTTTTCAAGTCACAAACAAAAGAGTTCTGTTTGTGAATTGAAAAAGCCCACTGTGTGGGCGAAACGTAGTCAATAAAGGATCACATTATACTGCATTTGTGTTTATATTTCCATTGTGTCGGTATTTTATACCATTTATTTCCACCCTTATTCACAGCTGCTGGAATACTTTTTTTTTAAATATGCCGTAATTTTAATCAATTTTCAAGTATTTGTTGGACTTTCTCTTAAGTTCTTGTTATAACTGCTGATACTCGATTTGTAAATATTTTACAATAATCTTTCTGCACCGTTTCATTTACAGTTAAAAAAAAAAAGGTCTTTTATTCTCCCTATTGTGTGTATAAAGAAACTTTCCTTTTCTACTTGCTTACATCTTTCTTTTCACGAATTTATATGTAATATTTTATTTCCTGTCTTGGTCGTGTTGTCTAACAAGGTTGTTGAGAGTGTCATGGCTGCCAGTCACATCCATGTGTCTTATGTAGCGCCTTCACCATCATCACTCTTGATTCCAGTAACTGGAGCTGCCCTTCCCCTTCCTTGACAAATCTTCATTACATTACGTTCCCAACACTGAAGATATACAGCATGTCAACACACATGTCAATACACATGTCAACACACATGTCAACACACATGTCAACACACATGTCAACACACATGTCAACACACATGTCAACACACATGTCAACACACATGTCAACACACATGTCAACACACATGTCAACACAATGTCAACACACAACATGTCAACACACATGTCAACACACATGTCAACACACATGTCAACACACATGTCACACATCAACACATGTCAACACACATGTCAACACACATGTCAACACACATGTCAACACACATGTCAACACACATGTCAACACACATGTCAACACACATGTCAACACACATGTCAACACACATGTCAACACACATGTCAACACACATGTCAACACACATGTCAACACACATGTCAACACACATGTCAACACACATGTCAACACACATGTCAACACACATGTCAACACACATGTCAACACACATGTCAACACACATGTCAACACACATGTCAACACACATGTCAACACACATGTCAACACACATGTCAACACACATGTCAACACACATGTCAACACACATGTCAACACACATGTCAACACACATGTCAACACACATGTCAACACACATGTCAACACACATGTCAACACACATGTCAACACACATGTCAACACACATGTCAACACACATGTCAACACACATGTCAACACACATGTCAACACACATGTCAACACACATGTCAACACACATGTCAACACACATGTCAACACACATGTCAACACACATGTCAACACACATGTCAACACACATGTCAACACACATGTCAACACACATCTATCAAACGACATAAAGTAGTGCTGATTGTTGCCTGTTTATAACTTTATTATTTAAAAAAGTTCCCTCCTACTTTTTTTAATCACAAATTCTTTGATCAATTCCTCAGAATCAATCTGACATAAATCTGTTCCTGTATTTAGCAGAGACAAGACATCCAGACCGTCTCGGTGCATAATTCTTCTCTTGGGATTTTTAATTTACTTCATCTAAAAAAAATTAATTCTCAGCTGTGTAATTTGTGACAATTAATGTTAAAAATATATGCAAGGTAATGTCTGCATTTGGAAACACTCACTCAGATTTGTTTTCTGAAATTTCTTTATGAAGTTCAGCATGACTGAATGTTGTTCAGTAGTTTTTGTTGCACTAAACTTATGACCCACATGAATGAAACTCCTGAAATTCAGCATAGATTAGTGTGCAAGTCCTCTGTGCAAACATCAGTCAGCTTTTAAGAACACTAAGAGTAACTTAAGTTTCAGTAGATGAAGTTACATTATTTGGTACATCTATTAGAAAAGAAAATAAGTCCCGTAGCCTGATTGCTAGCGCAATACCGTGGCTAAAACAATTTACTAAACCCGCACTTAGTTTAGGAACGTTACTACGACGTTTCTGTCTATCCTGGACCATTGTCAAATGCTCCAGGATGGATTGAAACGTCATCCTCAGGTTCCTCGCCTAAGTGCGAGTTTTTGGTGAACCTAACTCTACCTGAAGGGTGTTCCAGGGGGTCATCGCCCCCGCGGCCCGGTCCCTGACCTGGCCTCCCGATAGATCAGTGCCTGATCAACCAGAACAATTTCCACTGCCCAACAGTTAGTCTTGTTAAAATGATGACACAACTCAGTATGGAGGTGATCACGATGGCTCCCTAGTTCACGTGTGGTCTTGACAACAAGCTCCATAAGGCAGCTGTAGAGGACAACGACAGACGGTAGTGGAAGACCATCTGGCTTTAACACTTTGATTTGTCCGAGACACAGATTCCTTCATCGTTGTTTTTCTGTTTGCAGACGAGGCAACGACCACACTTCCCGTTGATGTTCCACGGCCCTCCACACATTTTTCCTGGGCCCTGTATGTATACACCATACTGTTAATTACACTAACATAATAAACTAGGTCTTCCAACTCATCCCTGACACACACACACACACACACACACACACACACACACACACACACACACACACACCAGTTTGGAACCCACACCTAGCCAAGCACGTGAAGAAACTAGAGAAAGTGCAAAGGTTTGCAACAAGACTAGTCCCAGAGCTAAGAGGTATGTCCTACGAGGAGAGGTTAAGGGAAATCAACCTGACGACACTGGAGGACAGGAGAGATAGGGGGGACATGATAACGACATACAAAATACTGAGAGGAATTGACAAGGTGGACAAAGACAGGATGTTCCAGAGATTGGACACAGTAACAAGGGGACACAGTTGGAAGCTGAAGACACAGATGAATCACAGGGATGTTAGGAAGTATTTCTTCAGCCACAGAGTAGTCAGTAAGTGGAATAGTTTGGGAAGCGATGTAGTGGAGGCAGGATCCATACATAGCTTTAAGCAGAGGTATGATAAAGCTCACGGCTCAGGGAGAGTGACCTAGTAGCGATCAGTGAAGAGGCAGGGCCAGGAGCTCGGACTCGACCCCCGCAACCTCAACTAGGTGAGTACAACTAGGTGAGTACACACACACACACAGGAGCTGTGAATCGAACCATGCAACCATATATAAGTCGGTACACGAACATATATTCACATACAAACCATCGTAAATACTTTGGCAAACAAAATTACATAAATGCTTACACAATAACGAGGACATATACACATTAATTGCCTCAGAAAAACAAGACCCCCTCGCACCTTTCCACAGACGGGACAGCAGTTACAGAGGTCCGTCACGATGCCCCAGGGACACTCCAGGGTGTTGGGGTCACGACAATGGAGACTTTTATCACAGGGTAGACAAGACAGTCCCAAACAACTGAGGAATATATAACAGGTGTGTTATTGTGTTGCTTGCTGACAAATTCCACTCTATTATAAAATGGTGAGCTTTTCCAGCAGTTTAGATTATACTCCAGTTGAATTCACAAAGGTTGTATTTACATATAACAATAAATGTAAGCTTAAGTAATGACAACACTTGCTTTCTATTTTTATGGGAAAAGAGAATGGTTCAAGTAACAAAACTAATTTGTTATACTAACATAAATGTTAATATTATACGCGATTTTCTGAAAAAAATTCCCAATATACGCCATTTAGGTTAGATTTATTTAGGTTACTTTAGTGTATAATTAAAAACATATACAATAATTGTAACATATAATAGCACAAATGTGTAAATTAAGCCATAAATGTGATATATTTATTGAAAAGTGACCAGAAAACCGAGACTCAATGAATGGACTAAACTTTTCTGTGAAGTAATCACATATACATTTTAGTGTCAAGGTTGGGTCACCGACGGTCTGATGGACTGATACCGAGGTATCTGTGTACAAAGTAGCTCTCAAGGGAAGGTAACTCAGCGGTAACAAAAAATTATATCATGTAACACTGTCTCACTAAATCTTAAAGAGAAACACTGAAAAATACATCCGCTAGCGAACACAACAAAGATAAAAAATGTCTCACCTGGTGACTGCAAGAGACAGTAGACACAGGAGTATGACGGTGTTCATGGTCACGTCCTCTAGCTAGTAATTCCTCACTCACACTGATGCTTCTTAAGTCTGTGGTAGTGATCGCTTCCCCGCTAAGCAAGTACTGACGCAGCTTTTCTTGTAACCTGTTATATACGTTGTCACCTTCCTTCCCCATCCCAAGAGTTTCTTTTGCCAAGACGGAAAATCCCAGTAAAAATATCTGTGACTATAGTTACTAGGAAAATATTTTCGTCTAGTTTCTGTAATACTTGGAGAGGTCCTGAGTTGTTTCCTCTCTTAATATCAGCGTTAAAAATATCTCGTGTGGGTGTAATTTACTAGTTGTGATTACTTACTTACAACTGCTGGAATACCCCTTTTTTTTTAATAAATATGTCGCAATTTATATAAAATTTCAAATATTTTTTTTATTTTCTCTCAGTTCTTATTATAACTGTTGATACTCGATTTGTAAATATTTTACAATAACCTTCCTGCACTGTTTCAAAGTTAAAAAAAATTATCTTTTATTCTCCTTATTGTAAGTGCAAAGAAATTTTCCCTTTCTAGCTACTTACATTTTTTTTACAAATTTATATGTGGTATTTATATTTTCTGTCTTGGTCCTGTTGTCTAACAAGGCTGTTGAGAGTGTCATGGCTGCCAGTCACATCCACGTATCTTAACTCACTGGTGGTTTGACGCTGATGACCCTTGATCCGAGTAACTGGAAATACCCTTATACCCTTCCCTTTGAAAAAAAAAATTTGATTACATCCAGATCCCCAGAATTATTACGATCCCTTACGGGTCCAGCACTTCTCCATTATTTATATACAGTACCAGTATCCATTTTCTCTTAATATTTTAACCAGTATTTCGACCAAAACTCTGATTAGTGAGACCAGACGAGGTCTTTCCTCTCCCATGTATTGTAAACAGATATACAAAAATTATTGAGTCGGTGGTTGAATTTATCTCCAAATTCCATCAAAACACAGGAGGGTAACTTACCTAGTATTTCTTTATGAATATGCAATATTAATTTAGTTAGTTTATTACCTTTCTTAAATAGGTTCCATATCATTTGATTGTAGAGGTTAAAAAGTTTTAAAAGAGGTTTGAAATAGAGGTTTAAAAATAAAGGTTTAATATGGAGGTTCAAAATGGAGATTTAATATGGAGGTTTGTGATGAATGGTTTGAAAAACCGACAAGTTGAAGATTGAGACACTTATGCAGCATATGAGAATCTTTATTCAGGAAACGTTTCGCCACTCAGTGGCTTCATCAGTCCAATACAAAGAGGAAGGCGTAAGGAGAGGAGGAGAATGAGGTAATCAGTCCCTCAGCCTGGAGTCGATGTGTTCAGTCCATCAATCTTGTAGAATGTACAGCATAGGGCCGTAGACGTGGCTTATATACTGTAGTGAGGTGAGGTGAAGCAGGCGGAGGCGGGGTCATAGTGGTACCATCCACTAGTCGAAGTAGGTCTTCGTCCAAAGGTTGAACAAGTGTTGAAGAATTCTTTGTAACAAGATCCCATGATGCTGCAGTGTCTGACAGTTGTGATGAATGGTTTGAAAAGTTGAAGATTGAGACACCACTATGACCCCGCCTCCGCCTGCTTCACCTCACCTCACTACAGTATATAAGCCACGTTTTCGGCCATATGCTGTACATTCTACAAGATTGATGGACTGAACACATCGACTCCAGGCTGAGGGACTGATTACCTCATTCTCCTCCTCTCCTTACGCCTTCCTCTTTGTATTGGACTGATGAAGCCACTGTGTGGCGAAACGTTTCCTGAATAAAGATTCTCATATGCTGCATAAGTGTCTCAATCTTCAATATGGAGGTCTAAAATGGAGGTTTAATATGGAGGTTTAAAATAGAGGTTTAATGTGGAGGTTTAAAATAGAGATTTAAAATAGAAGTTTAAAGTAGAGGTTAGAAACAGAAGTTTAATATGGAAGTTTAAAATAGTTCATTTAATTTTATCCAGCTGCGTTTGTAAATACATTTTAGAACTTTTAATAAAATGATCTCATTGCTAACAGTGATTAGATCATTTTTTCATAAAAACTTAATTATTTATATTTAGGCTTTCACATTTCTTTTGCAAACTTGAAGATTCTGTTACAATCATCATGAGATCCAATGTGGAAACCATACCTTATTCTCTCACTTAAGCTGCCTCATCAATGTTGATTGATGATGAATGGTTTGAAAAACCGACAAGTTGAAGATTGAGACACTTATGCAGCATATGCGAATCTTTATCAGGAAACGTTTCACCACACAGTGGCTTCATCAGTCCAATACAAAGAGGAAGGCTTAAGGAGAGGAGGAGTATGAGGTTATCAGTCCCTACGAGATTGATGGACTGAACACATCGACTCCAGGCTGAGGGACTGATAACCTCATACTCCTCCTCTCCTTAAGCCTTCCTCTTTGTATTGGACTGATGAAGCCACTGTGTGGTGAAAAGTTTCCTGAATAAAGATTCGCATATGCTGCATAAGTGTCTCAATCTTCAATGTTGATTATCTAAGAAACTCATTAAAACATTTAAAAATGTGACAGCGGCTAATTTCACTACCCTACACCGTGTACGTCAGGCCCATATTGGAGTATGCAGCACCAGTATGGAGCTCACATCTGAAATGAAGTGCGTGAGCTATGGGAGAGGCTAACGAAAATGCACCTAACGACATTAGAGGACGGAAGAACTAGGGGGAGACATGACAACAACATACAAAATATTCAGGGTGAACTGATAAGACAGGGATAGCCTGTATGACAGGCGAGAAACTGGAACTAGGGTACACCGCTGGAAGTTAGAGTCACGGATGAGCCACAAGGATGTTAGGAAGTGGTCGGCAAGTGGAATGATCTTAGTGAGAAAGTGGTGGAGGCAGACTTCATACATAGTTAGGCCGTATAATTCACTTTGAGGCCGTATAATTCACTCTGAGGAGGATATCAATGAACTCCAGGACGATTTGAACAAATTAATGTCTTGGTCTGAGAAATGGCAGATGAAGTTTAATGTGGATAAGTGTAAGGTACTTGCCCTTGGTAATGAAAATAACCCTCGAAGCTATAATCTAGGTGAAGTAGAGCTTGGTCATACAGAATGTGAAAAAGACTTGGGAGTCATGGTAAGCAGAAATCTAAAGCCAAGACAGCAGTGCCTCAGTGTGCGCAACAAGGCCAACAGATTACTTGGATTTATCTCAAGAAGTATAAGTAACAGAAGTCCAAAAGTTATTTTACAGCTCTATACATCACTAGTGAGGCCTCATTTAGATTATGCTGCTCAGTTTTGGTCCCCTTACTACAGGATGGACATAGACTCATTAGAGAACATACAGAGAAGAATGACTAAAATGATTTACTGTGTAAGGAACCTCCCGTATGAAGATAGACTTAAAGCCTTAAATCTCCACTCTCTGGAGAGGCGTAGAATAAGGGGAGATATCATTGAAGTGTATAAGTGGATGACGGGCATAAACAAGGGAGACATTAATAAAGTACTGAGGGTGTCGAACCAGGTAAGAACCAGGAATAATGGATTTAAGTTGGATAAATTTAGATTTAGAAAGGACATAGGTAAGTACTGGTTTTCTAACAGAGTTGTAGATGCGTGGAACAGTCTTCCCAGTGGGGTGATAGAGGCTAGGACCTTGGGTAGCTTTAAGAAGAGACTGGACAAATATATGAGTGGGAGGGGCTGGGTTTGATTGGTGTTGGGGGGTGCGGGAGTTGTTTCTTGAGTAGCTTTAGGTAGATGTCGTTTTGATAAGGACCTGCCTCGTATGGGCCAGTAGGCCTTCTGCAGTGTTCCTACATTCTTATGTTCTTATGTTCTTAGAACATAAGAATGTAGGAACACTGCAGAAGGCCTACTGGCCCATACGAGGCAGGTCCTTATCAAAACGACCTCTACCTAAAGCTACCCAAGAAACAACTCCCGTACCCCATGACACCAATCAAACCCAGCCCCTCCCACTCACATATTTGTCCAGTCTCTTCTTAAAGCTACCCAAGGTCCTAGCCTCTATCACCCCACTGGGAAGACTGTTCCACGCATCTACAACTCTGTTAGAAAACCAGTACTTTAGTTTTAAGAACAGGTACGATAGGGCTCACGAGGCTAAGAGGGTGTGAATCTGAAGAGTGGCAGGGCCTGGAGCTGAGACTCGACCTCTGAAACAACAAACATTTGAGTACATATGCGTGAGTACGAACAGGTGATAGAAGATTGGTTCGTTACGTCCTCTAGCTGAGCAACGTTGTTCACGCTAGAACTGTTTTTAGTGTTGGTGTTGGGTAGTGCAGATGTCATGCCGTGCAAGTGTCATGCGGCACAAGTGTCATGCAGTATAAGTGTCATGCAATACAGGTGTCAGGTAGTACAGGTGTCACACAAGTAAGCTCTGTAAGATCGTTGTTATTAACAATTAATTAATAAATATGTGAACCATAGTAATCCAACCCTGACCAGACTAGTTAAACTCTGAGAGGTCGTGTATATCATACATACGCATCGCTGGCGTAAACCTTCCATCATTTCTGAGTATTTACGGAAATATCTTTTTGAGAATAACACTAATGAGAAAGCTCTTAGATAAGGCAACGTCACTGTTGTTTTAACATCCATCTTACCTCTGCGTCATTCGGGTATTTCCCGAGAAAAAACGCCTAGTAATTTAATTGGGTGTACATGCTCCTTAACGCTGGGTGCAGCAAGGCTATTGTTGTTTGTATTAAAGTACAAATATGGATCTTGTGGACCTCCGGGAAGGGCAGGATCTTCATGGCAGGTAAACACGTTCTCGGAATTTATGAGAGCTGGAGAGAACGGGTTTTGTTCTTCCAGGACCACCGAGGTCCAGTCTCAAGCTGACTGTGGAAGGAGGATGACCAGCGGGCGTTTGCTGTTTGTGTGTTTGGTTCTTACGCTAGTGGCGAGGTAATACTAAATTTTTCTGTTGGTAGCCAAGTAAGGCAGTCTCTTTTCATGGGAACTGTGAACGTGTTTGATTTTGTGAGACTGTTTTTCGTGTGCAATTTGGCCAGCGGAAGGCCTCTGTCAGATTACTAAAAGCTCCGGCTGCGGTTATTTGACTCAGATCCGGGAAAGGAAACACTTGTCCTGTTTCCTGACGTAACCTAGGTTACTAAAGAAGATCCTTCCCTTGTGCTGGTGTCTATTTGATGGTATTTTGCATCATAACAGGAACGTTGCCTAGTATACTGTGGTCAGGTAAGAAAACACCTTCCCGTTGGTGACTAAGAACGTTTATTGGTGCTTGTATCAAGTTGTGAAATTTTGTATCCATTTATTAATGTTTCCTCGCCTCATCTGATCATGCTGAGAGCAACGTCCCCACTTTACCATTCACCTACCAGCCCCGGTAACTGCTTCCGAAATCTTCCTATTAAAAGCCTCGTAGTTCTTAATAGGAAGAACCTAATAAATACCAGTCTGTTACGATTTATATGGAATATATATAATATATATATATTATATATATATATATATATATATATATATATATATATATCTGTGTGTATCTTCCATCTTTCCTTGATTAACATTCATCTCACTGCAGCTGACGATCATCAAGGTCATCCCATCAAGGTATGGAAAGTCAGGGCTCGACCACGATGCCTCGCGTACCATACATTCCTCTACGTTAAATTTACGGCAGTCCTCTCACTGATCTTTCAACATTATTTTTACTGTTAATGCTGTTTTTTTTTTTATCCTACCATCCTGTGGGGTGGTAAAGCAAGAATTGATGTATAAACAAAAGGCCTAGAAACTAGGCCTCCCAAAAGGGGTTAGCAAGAACACATCTTGATATAAATTTACGATTCATATTTCACCTGCTGTTGTATGAACCTAGTGGGTTTAGCGCTTACTCATTATTGTAATAATATTAATGATTATATCACTCGCTACAAGCAAATCTGGGATATTTGCTTAATTCTACGAAGCCTTGATATATTTCTCAGGTGCATAATTAAGCACTTAGTGTCCATGATGGAGAACCCAGGACACAGTAGTAGTCTAGTATAAACAGGAAGAGTGGTAATATAAGCAGTGGTAGTGCCAGCAGTGGTAGTGCCAGTAGTGGTAGTACCAGCAGTGGTAGTGCCAACAGTGGTAGTGCCAGCAGTGGTAATGCCAGCAGTGGTAGTACCAGCAGTGGTACAGCCAGCAGTGGTAGTGCCAGCAGTGGTAGTGCCAGCAGTGGTAGTGCCAGCAGTGGTAATGCCAGCAGTGGTAGTACCAGCAGTGGTAGTGCCAGCAGTGGTAGTACCAGCAGTGGTAGTGCCAGCAGTGGTAGTGCCAGAAGTGGTAGTGCCCGCAGTGGTAATGCCAGCAGTGGTAGTACCAGCAGTGGTAGTGCCAGCAGTGGTAGTGCCAGCAGTGGTAGTACCAGTAGTGGTAGTGCCAGCAGTGGTAGTGCCAGCAGTGGTAGTGCCAGCAGTGGTAGTGCCAGCAGTGGTAATGCCAGCAGTGGTAGTGCCAGCAGTGGTAGTGCCAGCAGTGGTAGTGCCAGCAGTGGTAGTGCCAGCAGTGGTAATGCCAGCAGTGGTAGTACCAGCAGTGGTAGTGCCAGCAGTGGTAGTACCAGCAGTGGTAGTGCCCGCAGTGGTAATGCCAGCAGTGGTAGTACCAGCAGTGGTAGTGCCAGCAGTGGTAGTGCCAGCAGTGGTAGTACCAGTAGTGGTAGTGCCAGCAGTGGTAGTGCCAGCAGTGGTAGTGCCAGCAGTGGTAGTGCCAGCAGTGGTAGTGCCAACAGTGGTAGTGCCAGCAGTGGTAATGCCAGCAGTGGTAGTGCCAGCAGTGGTAGTGCCAACAGTGGTAGTGCCAGCAGTGGTAGTGCCAGCAGTGGTAGTGCCCGCAGTGGTAATGCCAGCAGTGGTAGTACCAGCAGTGGTAGTGCCAGCAGTGGTAGTGCCAGCAGTGGTAGTACCAGTAGTGGTAGTGCCAGCAGTGGTAGTGCCAGCAGTGGTAGTGCCAGCAGTGGTAGTGCCAGCAGTGGTAGTGCCAACAGTGGTAGTGCCAGCAGTGGTAATGCCAGCAGTGGTAGTGCCAGCAGTGGTAGTGCCAACAGTGGTAGTGCCAGCAGTGGTAGTGCCAGCAGTGGTAGTACCAGCAGTGGTAGTACCAGCAGTGGTAGTACCAGCAGTGGTAGTACCAGCAGTGGTAGTACCAGCAGTGGTAGTACCAGCAGTGGTAGTGCCAGCAGTGGTAGTACCAGCAGTGGTAGTACCAGCAGTGGTAGTGCCAGCAGTGGTAGTGCCAGCAGTGGTAGTACCAGCAGTGGTAGTACCAGCAGTGGTAGTACCAGCAGTGGTAGTACCAGCAGTGGTAGTACCAGCAGTGGTAGTACCAGCAGTGGTAGTGCCAGCAGTGGTAGTGCCAGCAGTGGTAGTGCCAGCAGTGGTAGTGCCAGCAGTGGTAGTGCCAGCAGTGGTAGTGCCAGCAGTGGTAGTACCAGCAGTGGTAGTGCCAGCAGTGGTAGTGCCAGCAGTGGTAGTGCCAGCAGTGGTAGTACCAGCAGTGGTAGTGCCAGCAGTGGTAGTACCAGCAGTGGTAGTACCAGCAGTGGTAGTGCCAGCAGTGGTAGTGCCAGCAGTGGTAGTGCCAGCAGTGGTAGTGCCAGCAGTGGTAGTACCAGCAGTGGTAGTGCCAGCAGTGGTAGTGCCAGCAGTGGTAGTGCCAGCAGTGGTAGTACCAGCAGTGGTAGTGCCAGCAGTGGTAGTGCCAGCAGTGGTAGTACCAGCAGTGGTAGTACCAGCAGTGGTAGTGCCAGCAGTGGTAGTGCCAGCAGTAGTAGTGCCAGCAGTGGTAGTGCCAGCAGTGGTAGTACCAGCAGTGGTAGTGCCAGCAGTGGTAGTGCCAGCAGTGGTAGTACCAGCAGTGGTAGTACCAGCAGTGGTAGTGCCAGCAGTGGTAGTGCCAGCAGTGGTAGTACCAGCAGTGGTAGTACCAGCAGTGGTAGTACCAGCAGTGGTAGTACCAGCAGTGGTAGTACCAGCAGTGGTAGTACCAGCAGTGGTAGTGCCAACAGTGGTAGTGCCAGCAGTGGTAGTGCCAACAGTGGTAGTGCCAGCAGTGGTAGTGCCAGCAGTGGTAGTGCCAGCAGTGGTAGTGCCAGCAGTGGTAGTGCCAGCAGTGGTAGTGCCAGCAGTAGTAGTGCCAGCAGTAGTAGTTACAACCTTGATATCAAAACTTTGTTTCCACGTGTCTTAATAATTTTTCGTACTCGCCTTTCGTCATGCTAATGTTAATTTTGTACAGTGCACAAATAACCCGCACATCAGAGAAACAATCTTTCGGTCCGACTTGGACTAGTTAATGATCCAAGTCGGACCGAAAAGTCGTTACAAGTTTGTCCTATGTTTGGGTTATTTGTGTATTGTTCCAATCTCGGTATTGTTCCTTTTTTGTTCTTCATAATTTTATACACTCATTATTTTATACTCGGAGTGTCGCGAGTGTGGGGAGAGAACCTTCTGCTATACAATGCTAACCTCAACGGTCTATAAAGAAGTTAAAAAAGCTAGATTGTAATTATTCTACTGTTATCTAGATACATGTTTTTCATCAACGCCAATGAAATTCCATGCACTCTGTGCACTCTTACGAAATCTTCCGATTTGGGAGTAATGAGAGTAGGGTGAGTGTCATGTTCTGGTGTTGATTTATTCACGAGGTCATGTACTTTCTCTTTAGCTCCTTACACTGTCTCATCTCCTTAGCCCCTTACATTGTCTCTCGTCTTTATCTCCTACGCTGTCTCTCCTCCTCACACTTTCTCATCCATGAGGCTCTTTCCCATTCTCTCTCATCTATGAAGCTCCTTTTAACGTGATGGATGGTTTCCAGGTTCGTGTAGATGCGATTACATATTTGTATTAGTGTGTTTGTGATTACAAGATTAGCGTATGTGCGTCTGTGTCTTTGAGTCTGTGTACTCGCCTATGTGTACTCACCTGTGTGGTAGCAGGGGTATATTCACAGCTCCTGGGCCCGCTCTTCACTGGTCGCTACTGTGTGTGTGGGTGTGTGTGTGGGGGTGATTAGGACGTGTGTGTATATTGAGTATGACGTGTGTATGTGTGTGTGAATCTGTGTATGAGTGTGTGTCCCTCCCAGTCACTGAACGACTGCTATAATATAGCAAACGAAACTATCAAGACGAATCAGAGGACGTGGTACGAGTATATCTGTACTTTCCCGTCTACTGCACGGAACTTAACAATTATTATTATTATTATTATTATTATTATTATTATTATTATTATTATTATTATTATTATTATTATTATTATTATTATTATTATGAAAAAACGCTAAACCAGTATGGATCACATAGAGCCTGCTAAATGAGAGGTATTCGGGTTTGATCCTAGGAAAGGGAGGGTTAACTCCAATTCTTCAGAACACGAGCTTCTTTTCAGGTTCATTATTACAGGTGCCGAGGACCGAGACTCAGGGCAGACAGTAAGATAATGTGTTGGACCTTAGTAAACCCTAAGATGATGGAAAACAGTTTAGTGTGTCTTAGTACTCAGGCAGTGCGTTACTGTTTCTTAGTACTCAGACATTGCGTTACTGTTTCTTAGTACTCAGGCAGTGCGTTACTGTTTCTTAGTACTCAGACAGTGCGTTACTGTTTCTTAGTACTCAGGCAGTGCGTTACTGCTTCTTAGTACTCAGACAGTGCGTTACTGTTTCTTAGTACTCAGGCAGTGCGTTACTGCTTCTTAGTACTCAGACAGTGCGTTACTGTTTCTTAGTACCGTGGTTGTTTATCTAGACAGTGCGTTTCTTAGTCTAGCATGCGTTTGTTTCTTAGTACTCAGACAGTGCGTTACTGTTTCTTAGTACTCAGACATTGCGTTATTGTTTCTTAGTACTCAGGCAGTGCGTTACTGTTTCTTAGTACT